ATGGCAGTGGTTTTATGGGAAGGGGAAATAGGGGGTTTAATGGGGCGGGGGGTCTCAAAGCCCACCCCCGTGGCATCGGGGCAGGACTGGGACCCCTCTGCACGTGGGTGGTTTAATGGGGGGGAAAGGATGTTTAATGGGGTTAGGGGTCCCCAAAGCCATCTCCATGGCGTCGGGGAGGGACCTGGACCCCCCCCCCTCAGGTCCCACCACGTGTAGTTGGTTTCATGGGGCAGGGAACGGAGGTTTAATGGGGTTTAGGGGTTCCAAACCCCATCCTGTGGCACAGCTGCACCTCCCCACACACATATGGGGGTTTCTGGGGGGGGAAACGGGGTCTAATGGGGTGAGGAGTCTCAAAGACCACCCCCGTGGCGTTGGGGCAGGATCGGGACCCCTCTGCGCGGTGGTGGTTTTGTGGGGAGGGGGAAAGGATGTTTAATGGGGTAGGGGATCCCAAAGCCCATCCTGTGGCACAGCCACGGGGTCCCCACATGCGGGTGGGTTTTTGGGGGTGAAAAAGGGGTTTAATGGGGTTTAGGGAGTCCTAAAACCCACCCCCCCGGGCGCTCGGGTGGGACCAGACCCCTCCATGCAGGGGTGGTTTTGGGGGAAGAGGGAACAGGGGGATCAGTGGGGTGGAAGTCCCACAGCCCAGGTAGGTGGGTGGATTTCTGAGGAGGGGGAGAAGGGGCTTGGGGTGGGGGTCCCGTACCTGGACACCCCCAATGCAGGCACCAGGGATGGCCCGGTAGTGGGAGGGGGCGCAGTGGGGACAGCCCTGCGGGGACACCCACAGCAGGTGGAAGGTGCAGCCGTCACAGGTCCCTTCGGGGCATTTGCTGGGGGGGGACAAGGGGGGTCAGTGGCAGTGACACCATAGGGTGACACCGCAGAGGGGACAGGGATAGGAGCAGGAGGGTCCCCCAAGTGAAGCAGCCCAGGGATGTCCCTCTCTGCCAGCAGGAGATGGGGGGGTCACCCTGGGGGTGCCCACAAAGCCCCCCCCGCGGGTCCCCAATGTCCTCCCCTCCACCTGGAAACAGCCAGGGTGACATCCCAGGGTGGGGGAATGGTGACAGAGATGTCCCCAAAGTGAAGCACCCCAGGCTCCCTGCCAGCACAAGATACAGGGTCACCCTGGGGGTCCCCAAAGCCCCAGTGTGTTCCACCCCCCCCACCCACCACCTGGGGACAGCCAGGGTGCCAGTGACACAGCCATAGTGACACCCCACACTCAGGACACCGTGACAGGGGTGTCCCGAAAGTGAAGCACCCCAGGGATGTGTCCCTCTCTATAGGTGATGTGTAGGGGTCATCCTGGGGGTCCCCAAACCCCCTTGGCATCCCTGGTGTCCCTCCCCACACCTGGGGACAGCCGGGGTGATGCCCCAAGGTTGGGGACATCACAACACCTGTGTCCCCAAAGTGAAGCACCCTAGGGACCAGCCCACCCCAGCAGGAGATGGTGGGGTCACCTTGGGGGTCCCCAAAGCCCCCCCCCCCCCCGGGGTCCCCAGTGTCCCCCCCCACCTGGGGACAGCCAGGGTGCCACTGGGGGGGCTCAGGGGGTCACAGCGCAGGCGGAGGGTGGTGGCCCTGCCACTGGTGCAGGGCTGTGTGACGTCATTGGACCTGCCAGGGGACACAGGGGGTCAGGGGGACACTGGGGACACGGTGGGGTGTCCCCCCCATCCCTGCCCCCACCTGAAGAAGAAGATGACGTCAGGCAGGTCAGAATGGCTGCCTGGGAACAGCTCCGGGGGGGACACGACGCCATCCAGCACCGCACTGGTGGTGACACCTGGGGGACATGAGGCCATCCCCGTGGTGTCCCCGAGCCACCAACAAGTGCCAGGGGTGTCCCCAATCACACCAGGGTGTGCTCAGTCACACCAGGGTGTCCCAGCATCACCGAGGTGTCCTTGTCCCACCAGGGTGTCCCAGTGCCACCAGGGTGTATGGCAGTCCCACCCATGTCCCAGTGCCACCAGGGTGTCCCATTCCCAGTATCTCTCACCCAGCAGGGTGTCCTCCA